TATTACCTAAACGAGTCACCTCGCAATACTTCTACCATTTTTATATCAACTATTAAGTCTCACGAATTGTTCCACCAACGATTAGGTCATCCCAATTTGTCTAAGTTAAAGCGTCATTTTTCTAATTTTTCGTCATTATGTTCGTTACCATATGAGTCATGTGCGCTTGGGAAGCAATCTCGTACTTCATTTCCCAAGTGCGTCGATAGTCGAGCATCTGAGCCCTTTGCACTAGTTCACTATGATATTTGGGGGCCTTGTCGTACTACTTCAACCATGGTTGTCATGGCGCCCTTTTGCGGCGCGGCGCTAGGGGACCGCCATACCGCTATGGCGACAAAATGGCGAACGCGGCGTACTATGTATAAAATTAAATAGATATATATAATTGTAAATATCATAAATCCGTAAAAATAATACATTATCAACTTCCTATTAATCTTCAAAACTTTGTGTGCCTTAAATCATAAAAAGAAATATAATACCATAAAAAATATAATTTCAATCATCAAATAAAACAAAATACTATCCATGAATTTCTAAACCACCAATTTTATCATCTCAAATTTCAACAATCAAAGAGCTCAAGTTCACCACTACCACTAGAAATATCTTCCAAATCATCATCATCAATGTCATCATCTAATGATACATCTTCATCGTCTAATTCTTGCTCCATCAATGCCGAAGTTGACACTTTCTTAGGACGTCTATAGTATAATTGTATTGATGAACCCGATGTATCTCCGATATTTCCCCTTATAGGAATATTGCGGCGTTCAAGATTGGCCGATGCACCCATAGCTTCATCAACATGACTCCATGTAAGATCCTCTCCCGAATGAACTATATCATTGGTGTCGAGAACCCACTCATTATCCTATTCAAATTCCTTCAACACCAAAAGATTGAAGTTCTTTCCTTCCTCACGCCTCTTTTGAAATCTATTCGCAATTTTTCGATTGTATTGAACGAAAACTAAATCGTTCAATCTCTTATGCTCCAATCTATTTCGTTTTTTTGTGTGAATCTAAAAAAAATAAATTATAATATATTAGTATATGACTTCAATAGCAATAATGCTTAATATATTATTTATATAAGTAATTAAATACTTACAAATTCAAATGAGCTTCAATTGCGTTCACACCCGGAGGACGGACAACAAAGACTAATTATATGAAAGGCAAGTGATTAAAGCTCGAAATGAAGGCCTCCAAATTATACCACCCTTGGTTTTCAATATTTTGTAACGTTTATTGATGATTTTTCTTAATGTACTTAGGTTTATTTAATGAAAAATCGATCTGAATTACTCTCCATATTTAAAAAGTTTTGTGCTGAAATTTCGTACGCAATTTCATACATCTATCAAGGTTTTAAGAAGTGATAATGGTAGAGAGTATTTTTCTCACTCATTCAGTGATTTTGGCTCATCTGAGGGAATTATTCATCAGTTATCGTGTCCTTCCACTCCCCAACAAAATGGAGTGGCTGAGCTAAAAAACTGTCATATGGTAGAAACAGCTCGCACTCTCCTCATACATTATAATGTCCCATCTCATTTTTGGGCTGATTCTATTCTTACATGTTTCCTCATCAATCGTCTTCCATCTGTCATCTTAGGACATAAGATTCCCATAACATGTCTTCAGCCTAATAATGTGTCCTTGTACCCTTTACCTCTCCGTGTATTTGGATGTACGTGCTTTGTTCATGACCATTCTTCTGGATTGGACAAATTACGTCCTCGATCCATCAAATGTTTTTTCCTTGGGTACTCTTGAGTTTAAAAAGGATATAGATGTTATTCTCCTCTCACTCGTCGATATTACCTTAGTGCAAATGTCACGTTCTTTGAGTCATCACCATACTTTACAGTGTCATCATCTTCATCCTCAATACCTATGACTCCTATTCCAGTTGTTCCAATTCATAAGCCTCCACTTTAAGTCTATAGTCGCCATACATGGCAGCGTCATAATATACTACTCCACCATCACCTACGCCTATTGATGACTCATCTCCGGTTCCATCGCCTTCCCCGGTTGCGACTCCTAAGTCACCTGTCGTCCCACGTCGAGGTACACGGTCCACTCGTAATCCGAATCCTATTTATAATTTTCTTAGTGATAACCGTTTATCTCCTTCAATGTGCAGTGTTGTGATTGCTTTAGACTCTATCACTGTTCCTCGTTCTTGGGGTGAGGCTTTGGGTCATTCAGGGTAGTGTCAGGCTATGATGAAGAAAATGTCTGTTTTGCATGCTAACAATACTTGGGAGTTGGTTTCGTTACCGCTAGGAAAGACACCCGTAGCTTTCCGATGGGTTTATGCAGTCAAAGTTGGATTTGATGGTCGCATTGATCGACTTAAAGCTCGACTTGTTGTAAAAGGCTTTACTCAAGTGTACGGAGAGGATTATACATAAACTTTCTCTCTTGTTGCCAAAATGTCTTATGTTCGCCTTTTTCTTTCAATGGCAGCAATGTGTGGTTGGCTCCTTCATCAGTTTGACATTGAAAATGCCTTTTTGCATAGTGAGCTTAAAGAAGAAGTATATATGGAGCAACCTCTTGGTTTTGTTGCTCAGGGGGAGTCTGGTCTTGTATTTCGCTTTGGTCGTTCACTCTATGGCTTAAAACAGTTCCCACAGGCGTGGTTTATGACTCAATGTTCGTCTGATCATACCTTATTCTTCAAGCATAATTTAGAAGGGCGATGCGTTTACTTAATTGTTTATGTTGATGATATTGTCATCACTGGAGATGATATGGATGGTATTACAAAGTTAAAGGAGCATTTACACAATCATTTCCAAACTAAAGACTTGGGACCACTACGGTACTTCTCAGGAATTGAGGTTGTCCAATCAAAGAATGGTGTTATCGTATCTCAGAGAAAGTATGTTCTTGATATGTTAGAAGAAACTGGTATGAATGAATGTAAGGTTGTGGATTCCTCTATGGATCCAAATACAAAATTGCTTCCAGGACAGGGGATCCATTGACTGATATTGATGCTAGACGATATAAAAGGCTGGTTGGAAAACTTAATTATCTCACTATCACCTGACCATATATATCATTTGCAGTAAGTGTAGTGAGTCAGTTCATGTAGTCTCCATGTGACTCTCATTGGAAGACACTTATGTGTATTTTGTGGTATATTAGAGGGTCTCCCGGAAAAGGATTACTTTATACAAATCATGGTCATTCTGAAATCGTTGGATATTCAGATGCTGATTGGGCGGGGTCTCCAATCGATAGGCGTTCTACCTCGGGTTAGTGCGTGTTTATTGGAGGCAATTTGATATCTTGGAAAAGTAAGAAACAAGATGTGGTTGCGCGCTCTACTGCTGAGGCTGAATATCGTGCTATGGCTTTAGCTACATGTGAGCTTCTCTGGATTAAAAAATTACTTTGTGAACTCAAGTTCTGTGATTTGACGAAGATGAAGTTATGGTGTGATAACCAAGCGGCACTACACATTGCATCAAATTCAATATTTCATAAACGAACGAAACATATCGAAATAAATTGTCATTTCATCCGAGAGAAAGTATTATCCGGATATATGGATACTAAATATATGCCTTCAGATGATCAACTTGCAAACATATTTATGAAAACTCTGAGAGGTCCTAGATCCCAATCTATCTGCAACAAGCTTGGATCGTATGATTTGTATGCTCCAGCTTGAGGGGGAGTGTTGGATTTATTAAATTCATATCCATATCCATATCTTATCCATAACCATGATTTAGTTAGTTATGATAGATTTTCTAATTTGCTATATATATTTACTCTTCCCTTTTCTTTTTTGGAATAATATAACTTTATTTTTCCTCTATTTCTCTACATGTGGCACACCTAGAAGTTTTAGAGAAACATAGTCTCCTTAGGTGTGGCTACAAATGAAGTCAAAGTTGGTCAAAACTGCTGTTTAAATGGACAAACTTTTCAATTGATGGGAAGAAGTTTTTCTTCTACATGATGTTTATTTTCTCTTTAGAATTTGTTCTTCTTTGATGTATATTTCTTTTGCAGAGAATTCCTCATCTCTTCTATAAATGAGAAGTGAGATTGTAATATCGTACTTTTTGATTTATTTTAGTGAATTTCTTCGTCATCCCATGGTTTTTTCCAGTCTTGTGTTTTCTATAATGTCCAATTCTATTTTTGCAATCTGTGTTATTTCTTCAAGTGTTCCTTAAAATGATCCTTTACTCTGTAGCAGTTCAACTTTCAAGGGTGGAGATAATTTGTGATCTTTTGGCGCCCTTCCACTATAAAAGCTGAATTCATCTCTGTGATAGATTATTTGGTGTATTATGAATCTTATGTGGTGCGGATGAGGTAAAGCTTGCTGGAATGCAGACATAATAGCAATTTAACAATACCAGAACTTTTGAACCCAGTTAGGTACTCTGGACTGCATCTGGAGAGATGCTGTGAGTTGTGACCTATTACATGAAGTCCTCGCTAATTATTTGACTACTACAAACTACTGATGCAATCGTACCCAAAGGACTTGGATAATTCAAAGGATGCATATCTCCCGACTTAAAAAATCAATGGGTAAATTCCCAATTTAAAAATTCTTCAATTCATTCAAAGGAAGATGAGCTTCTATACATTTGTTTTAGAGGAAAACATGATTCTTGGTTCCAAATGTTCTGCCCAAATCCACCTGACTCCCTCAATTCATTTACATTGATTGAAGTCTTTATCTAAATACTATGAATGATAATAACTTCTTTCTTAAGTAAATAAAGTTTCAGATAATTTGTAACAGAGTATGTTCCATTCTAAATTAACAACCAATGTAAACTTCCTAGTTGGTATTGTGGGTATACACTTGACAGTGCAGTTATGTTTTTTCTTGATACAAAGTAGCTCTCAGAGGGTGACTATGTTGATTGAAAACCAGACATTTTGGATATATAAATGCTATCAATCCTTAATTCTATCTTAGTTTTTTATAAAATTGTTTTCTAGGAGAGGCATTGGTTGGCATCTACTGAGAGCAGGTGAGGAACTTATTTCACAAATGAGTTCGTGTAGAGATGTCCATCTGCATTGCAGAATGATCGATGAAGGTCCATTGAATCTGTACATGAAAGCAGGCTATAGAATTGTTCAGACGGACAGCATCTTAACCTTGTTAACATTACAGAGGCGTAGGCATTTGATGTGCAAAGAACTCCCTGTCTCTAATGATACTTCTGCACCAGGTATTGAGGAGGAGATTTCTTGATTGATCAGCAGCTAGTCACTGAGTTTTGAGGTAAAGAAGCATGGAATTATGTTTAAATGCTCCTATACACAGCTTGTTATATATTGCAATCTTCTATACTCCAACTGTGAACTGTTGTTGTACACTATACTAAATTAGTAAGCAAAACATCCCTTTGGTTAAGTTTTACCTTACAGATTTGTCACAGGAGAAAATGGAAGATTGCTTATCTGAAATCAAATGCACTTATTTCCCCACATTTTGCATAAATTTATCATTTTTGTTCGCCTGATATAATTTGTGAAAACTTGTGCAGCTAAATGTAGTTTGAAGGTCAGCCTCAAGCTGATTTATACAAATTCTGTCATTTGTATGTCCTGATTGTTATTGTTTTAATGATACTTAGTGTTCCTATCTCATCCATACAGATGTTCCTTTTTATCAGCTGTTATAATTGTTTATCTTTTCCCTAACATACCTAATCAACTGGTACATCATTCTGTTGCTGGCACTTGCATAATGGGGGACAATACTAAAAACTTTCTTGAAAGATGAAAAAATCCTATTGAGGGAGGTAAATTACAGTATCTAAAATAATATGAGGGGTTTTTATGGGTTTTTAGTTTCTTGATTGAATATTTCTTATCGCACAAGGAGCAGGTCTTTGTACAAAATGGCTGGATGATTATTTGGTGATATTTTTACAAGGGTAAGGTTATCATTGATGATTTGCTCTTTTTCACTATGGGTTGCTCAGAACAAAATTCACACTTACTCCGATGCATGCTTATTCTTTTCAATTTTCCCAGAAGAAAAAATCTATTGTATACTTTTTCTCAGATTCTTGTTTTATAGTTTGTTGGACCAGAGAATATTTATAAATTTATTATATAGTATGATTAGTTAAATTATGCTGACTGATTAATTATGTAGATTATCTCTGATATTTTGTGGCCAAAAGACTATCAGATAATCAAAACAATATCATAAAGTATTATCACACAATAGTCTGAAAACTGTGTGATTTTGAATTGATGTTGTTTGCATTTTATCAACACATTACCATTTGATATGACTGTTGTGCGCATTAACACATTAATTATCTGAGAAATCTGTTGTGCTTGTCTCTACTGAACTCCGGGAATGTTCTCAGATTAGCTTCTGATTTGAAAATCCCATTTCTTTGGCCACTCTGTAACTTGTTCTCTTATTTTCGAACAAAACCTGGGCCTCAAATCATCCTGAGTGTATGCATTGCCATCCCCAATCCTTTAGTATTAATGCAGAGGATCAGTTGTAATTCTTTCACGCATTCTATCATTGAGGGCCTCTCTTGACTGTCTGTTCGGACACAGCGTGATGCTAGGTTTGCAAACATAGCTATTGACTCCATTGTGTATGAACTCCGTCTCAGCTCAGGATCAATCACCCGTTTCAACTTCTTCTTTTCATTCAGTATATTCTTAACCTGTGGAGTTTCATATATATATATATATATATATAATATGTTTGCATACACTGATGGATTTGTAATTCATAAAACTGATGCTATGGCATTTTAGGGTTTTGTAGGGTGTCATCTTGCCATTACCTGAAGCACTAAGTTCTGATCACTCGGTCCCTGGTTCAGGTCCACTGCTCTTCTTCCTGTCAGAAGTTCGAGTAGGACGACTCCGAATGCGTAGACATCACTCTGTAGTGTGAGTTTTCCTGTCTGTTACATGGTAGACATACCCATTGCTCAGTCCCTCTTGCCATTTAATGAAATTGTAATTGAAATGGATCCTCTTAATCTTATCGAATTTCTAGAATGAATGGATGATGCAAGAGGGAATGCCTGCCTTCAGCCCTTCATAGAAGTCTGTGCTCGGATATTAATGAAAGTGCATTAATTTTTTCAAACATTTAAAGCTCTAACAGGTGTATGTCCCTCTAGGAAGTCATATTCAAGAGTAGTAAGATGCCTTTTTTTTTTTTTTTTTAACTATTGTTTCTTTATCGTGAAATGCATATATGGTCAGTGTGTATGGGGAAAGAGATTTACCAAGGTATACTCCGGGTCGAAGTAGCCAAAAGTACCTAGAACTGTTCCTGTCACACAAGTTTCCTGGCCTTCTGGCATTATCTTTGCTAGCCCAAAATCTGATATCTGCTTTATAGCTTTCTCCATATAAGTTCTGATGTGCTTATGAAAGTAAGTCGTGTTCGTTATGTAGAAGCATGTGCGTGAAACTTGTTTGATCATGAATGGCTTAATCTCTTACCTTTGCATCATAGTTGTCGTCAAGAAGAATATTGGTGGACTTGAAGTCTCTATGAACTATGGGAATCCCAACATCTGAGCTAGAATGGAGGTATGCAAGTCCTCTTGCTGCTCCGAGAGCCACCTTGAGTCTTAGAGGCCAATCCATCTTGACTTCTCCGATTCCTAAAACATCATCAGTAAGTGTTGTAGCATAGAAATACCAACCCAACTTTAGTCGTTAGAATGACCAACCATTTAAATGATCTTGAAGGTTGCCCTTGTGCATATATTCGTACACAAGAAACCTTTGCTTCCTGTCAGCACAATAGCCTATTAAGTTTACAAGATTCGGATGGTCCAATCTGCTTAGGATGTCTACCTCTACCCGAAACTCCCTTTCCCCTTCGGCTTCCTTGAAAGGTGGTAGGTCCATTTTCTTGATTGCAACCACCTGTGAATGCCGAGTCAATTTCAATCTTCGGGTTTTTTTTTACGCATTAGTTTAGTTGGTTTGATTCTTGCACATGTAGACATAATGCAAAATCTTGGTTGTCCGAACTATTTGAAGTAGAAAATAAGCAAAATAATTTGCTCCTTACTCGTATAGTTTAGGACATACCTCCCCGGATTTTAGAGTGCCTTTATATACTCGACCGAATCCTCCTTTCCCAAGAAGGTTATCTTCGCTAAAGGAACACGTTGCCTCCTCCATTTCTTTGAGTGTAAACACTGTGGTTGCGCTTCTTCTTTTAGCTGGTGGATTTCCATATTCAATCTGCCAGAACTCCACAGGCTTGTATGTCCCTGAAAATGAGAAGTCGCATAAATCATGGAACTACAATGAGTGCACATTATTCGAACCAAAACAAGAAATGGATCAAAGCTTATACAGGGACTATTCTGATCCTCTGATTTGCTCCTCCTCCTTTTGTTCCAGGCGGAGACTAATCCGAATGGCATTTTTAGTCTCTCCAATGGTATCGCAATACAGGACTGTAAGTGATTAGAAGCTAGAATCTTAATACAAGCATTAAAGGGTGAGTAAAAAGAAAAGGTATGCTAACTATAGAGAGGTGAAATGAGATTATTATTGTTATTATTATACTGTTTCAATGCAGTGCAGTAGAAGACGACGACGAAGAAGAAGAAGAAGTACGAGGAAAGCAATGGAGGGTGAATATACTTAGTTTCAACAACCAGGAAAGGATTTCTGACTTGAAGAAACAGAAAAAAAAAAAAAGGGGGGGGGGGGGGGGGGGGGGGGGGTGGTTTCACTACAAAGGCAAGGCAGGAGGGATGAGGTAATTTGCTTAGCTTTAAATGAGAATTATGTGTTGGATTGGGGCTGTGGGGTGGGGTATGATGATTCTCTAGTTTTTATTATGTCTGAAAATGAAATGCAAGCTGCTGCTAGTTACGTTATTTTCCTCCTGGGAAAATTAATTTTGTTGGATGGGTATTGGAGCTGTTGAGCAGTGGTTTTCATAGTTGTTTTCTGCATCAATACAAGGGTGGGTGGGTGGGTGGTTGAGGTTGATCCGAATGAAACTTGTTGTTTTTATTGCTGATTTTTCTTTTTTTCCTCTGGGTAATTGATTTTCACTCTACCATCGGAAGCGTTAGGGTGCTGATTAAAGTTAGTCAGGACAATATTGATAAAAGATTGATTTCAACTAACATAATTGAAAATGTGTTGACAGTTATACTTTATAGGTGTGCTAAGATCAATATTAGTATGTCCGGTAAGACTATTATCACGTATTTATTTACTGTATTTGTATTATATGCCGAATGTACTTAGGGAGAATATTAAAATTGTTATGCCATCTATAGACAAATATTATCTTGTCTTGCATATATTTTTGTTGTATTTTAGGGCAATGTGAATTTAAAAACAAAATATTCATTTTGTTCGTAAATATAATTTTATTTTTTTTATTACAAATAACAAATATCTTCATATATATATATATATATATATAAGGGCACAATAATTTTTACCCATAAAAAGATATAATTAATTTATAATTTTTATTTGTTCAATCTAAATGAATATATACAAATATTAATATATATTAATTTTTTTCATAAATTATAATCATATAATTGTATAAACTACTATTTTATGGAGTACATAAAATAAAAAGGATAAAATATCATTTTTTTTAATTTTTTTTTTCATATTTTTACTAATTAGTAAGATAATTATTACTCGTGCTGCTTCAATTTTTTATGTCACATTATCCGATACGGAAATTAAAAAATGATAGTATTTCAATGTGTTTTATAAAAAAAAAAATATATTAAAGAATTAATAAGCAATAGTAGCAAATTAATTATTATTATTTGTTAAAACATGAGTAATGAAATTATATTTGGATAAAATTGTTTACTTTAAATTGATTATACATAAATATATAGACAATAATGATAAAAAAAAAAAAAAAGTGATAACAACCATGGAAAAATTGTTATATTTTAATTTACGAAAAAAAAAAATTGGATATATATATATGACTTAAATGGAGGGAGTATATTTACTAAATTTTGTATTAAAAAATAAATGATTCTTTCCAAATGGATAAACTGTTTTTTTTAATCGACTATATATATAGTGTTACATTATTACCTAAACCTAAACAAATACTTCCTCCGTCCCACATAATTTGTTCATATTTTCTATTTTCGTCCGTCCCACGTAATTTGTTCCTATTTTCTATTTTCGTTCGTCTCACATAACTTGTCCTTTCTATTTTTGGAAATACAAGTATGCACTTTAATCACATTTTAAATTTTAAATTTTATAATTTTTTTAACTTTAATTAAACTATTTACTTATCTTAATCTTAATCTATAATTATTTTTATTAAATAATAATTATTTTTACTAATACACTTCTTAATTATTTACTAATTATACTTTATCTAAATTCCCGTGTCTATGGTAATACACCCATATTACATGTGACGGAGGGAATATATTTCATAGTATCCTATTAAAAAGGGCGTGTCTAATTCGTTTGTTTATTTATTACTATTATTATTATTGCTACCAAGTAAAGAATATTCCTACATTGTTGTGTAGGATCGGATCTTTATTATGGCTATATATTGCATATAAGTAGGTTCTGAAAAGTAAAAAGTAAAATTATAAATTGAAATAATTATTTTATGTAATACATATAAATATTTGAAATATATTGTATGTAAAATTACTTTTTAATATATATTTTTTTTAAAAAAAATAAAAATCCAAGCTAATATCTTTTTAGAAAAAAAAATGAAGTTCAGATTTAAAACCCATAAACAAATTAAGCCTTATTAATTTACAAATTCTAACCATAAATTGTACTATAAATTTACAATTGTATAAAATATATCTAAGAAATAATAATAATAATAATAATAATAATAATAATAATAATAATAATAATAATAATCACAATTGTTATAATTATTACAAATTTTTGTTCCATGAATTACTTGTTACTTTTAAATTTGGTAGTAATAAAATTTCGAATTAAAATAGTTATTTGATTTGATATATTGGCTCGAGTTTTTAGACTAAATGATTTTTTATGTGTGATATGGAAAATTGTGTTAAATATTTGACTTTTAGTTTTTTTATAATGATTTTTTTACTTTTTATAATAAGTATTTGATTTTTTTTTATTTTTTAATTTTTTTTTTTTGAATTTTGAAGATGTTTGGCAAATAGCCTTTTTTAGGAGTTTTTACTTATTGAACAGTTTTTAGCTGGTTGACAAAACAACTGCTTTAGGTTTTCGGTAAATTAGCTTTCTGAAAAGCTAACTTACCTAACGTTTTGAAATAGTTTTTTTCAATTTATTTTTTTTTTATTTTTTATATGTCTTAAAAAATTTATTATGTATTTTACACAAATAAATATATTTTGATTATTTATTAATTATATTAGAATATTTTATTATATTATAGTTTTACTTATATAAATTTAAAATAATTAATTTATATATATATTATTTTAATTATAAAATATATATAAATAATTTATTTTTATATTAAAATTACATTATATAAATTTTATATTAAAAATAAATTAAATAAATTAAATTCTTTGAAAATTATAAATATAATGAACTAATCGATAATTAACATAATAAATATATACACAAAAAATTTATTATTTTATATTTTACATCATTTTCAATAAAAAAAAAACTATTTATATTTTTTAATAAAAATATATTATTTTTTAAATCTAACTATAATAAAAATAAATACTATTTTATAACACTTTTACAATTTTCAATAACTAATAACAACAAATTTCAAATATTCTAAACTCAAAAGAATACAATTGAATATATTATAAATAAAATAAAATAGAAATATCATCAATTGTCATTTTACGTATAAACAACTAATATCAAACAATTATTTTACCAAATATTTCAATACAAACAACTAATCGAATCGGCTAGTCAAATCAGCATATTGAATCAACTAACAACTATCAGCTAACAACTAATAGTTATCAGCTAATTGCCAAACACGCCATTTGTATAAAATATTTTGTACTTATTATTATTATTTTTGAAAAATAATGATAGGAGAACAAAATGATAATTTTTAAATTAAAACTATTAATTTATTTTTTGTAACTCATATATGAACGAACTCAAATGAATCAAGTCAAGCGAAACTTGCAAAATGTTGGTTTGTTTTAATGTTCTAATTAGACCCTAGAACTAAAAATTTATTTAAAAGCAAATATTTAAAAGAAAAAAATCAATTTTGGTCCAAATATAATTAAAATTTATTAATTTTGTTCTCAATATAAAAAATTCATCAATTTTAGTCTCATTATAAATAATTTCAATCAATTTTCACCACAAAAAAATAGTATATTTGTAACGAAATTTTGTTCCTAAATTTCACGTAGCTAATGTAATTTCATCTCTAATATCATTAGTAACGGAAAAATTGAATTTAGGAACGAAAAAATCTCGTTACAAAATTGATAATTTCTTGTAGTGAATTTGGTCCCATTATAAATAATTTTAATCAATTTTGGTCCCACTGTTAAAAAATTAACGAAAATTGCTGATGTGGACGTAACGGAATTGACGTGGCAGCTGAAGTGGAAACTACATGGCCATGTACAATTATACACAGCCTTGTTGTCACACGACCATATATATTTCAGTGTACAAATATACATGACAATATTGTTACACGGCCATGTATAATTCTACATGATCGTGTAACTTTCTGTTTTGGTATAAAATTTATTTTTTTTTTATATATTTTTTTAAAAGTATTTTGAATTTAGAAAAGTTGATATACTTAAAATAAAAAAAATAGTAATCATAATATAGTTAAAATGTATCAATTTTAATTCAAATATAACAATTATAAGATATGTTTTTTTTGTCTAAAATTCTACTATTCATAAAAAAATTTCCAATTACAAACGTCCAATTACACAACTATTTTTTATTTTTGCATATTCCAGTATTAAAAATTAATTTTACATTTCAATGCAATTATATATGTCTACGTTGAAATTGTATTCAAATATAAAATAAAATTTTAATATAATATAAAAAATAGTTGTGTAATTGGATGTTTGTAAGAGAAAAAATTTAGATGAATAGTAAATTTTAGGCAAAATCTTTCAAAAAAAATATCATATAATTTTTATATTTCAATTAAAATCGATACATTTTAATTATATTAGGATTATTATTTATTTATTTATTTTTATTTTAACTATATCAATTTTTCTAAATTCAATTTAAAAAAAATATAAAAAATATAAAAAAAATAAAACTTTATACTAAAACAGAAAGTTACCTGGCCGTATAACAACGTTGCCATGTATAATTGTACACTGAAATATACATGGCCGTGTATAATTGTACATGACCATGTAGTTTCTACATCAGCTACCACGTCAACTCCGTTATGTCCACATCAGCAATTTCCGTTAGTTTTTTAACGGTGAGACCAAAATTGATTGAAATTGTTTATAATTGGACCAAAATCGATTGAAATTGTTTATAATTAGACTAAAATTGATGAATTTTTTATATTGAGACCAAAATTGATAAATTTTTTGTTATATTGGAACAAAAATTGATTTTTTCCCTATTTAAAATAAACTCAAACAAATAGAGTAAGTCCAAACTTTTCAATCAAACATGGAATACAATAATTTATAAATTGTTGAATACCTAAAAATTCTTTAATTTTAATTTTAAATCAATATTGAATACTTTAAAATTTTTAAAGACTTTTGAAAATACTAATTAGATATCCCCAATTTTTGAAAATCTCTCTCTCTATATATAAAGCTTAAAAAAACTCCATGATCAATACACGCCGTAAAAATAATAACTAACGATATGATATGATACGGATGGACTAGACCCTCTCTATATATAGAGAGAAAAAGACCCTTGTTGGAAGGCATTGCATTGATTTATCATTGTCGATTTCCTAGAAAGTTTGGTTGTTTATTATATTCGATAGAAATGGCGTCGACTATTGAAATGGAGGTGGAATTGAAATCGAGCGCAAACCAGATATGGGAGGCCCTAAAGAACTTGACCACTCTATTCCCTAAGGCCATGCCTCACATATATAAGAGTATTGAGGTCCTCGAAGGTGATGGACAGTCCGTAGGCTCAATTCGTCTCGTTAAGATACACTCCGGTATGTATATATATATATATGTATCTTATATTACTATAAGAATCCAATATGAAAGATGTGTTTTCTTTGAAGAATTTTCTTTTTTATTATATGAAATATAAGAAATTTTGTAGATAATATAAAAATAATGAGTAGGTGTAGTATATTAATTTTTTTGAAAAAATATGTTGAATTTATTTTGAAAAAGAAACAAACCCTCAAAGTTTAGTTCACATCTGTTATCAATTAGTACTCTTACTTTGTATATTAATTTTTTCCTTAAACATAACATGCGATTTTTAGTGTGCAAATTTAGCTAAGGGATCATAAGTCAAGGATCTCATGCAATTTGCCTAATTCCACACACTAAATGTGTATATATATATATATATTGAGTGTACATATAAAGTAAAATTATATACATACACACAACATGTATACTTGCATATATGTATATATATTGTATGTGAAACTGGATAAAAATTAATTTGATAATCCTAGACTTTGAATTTAAAGGGCAGAAGATAAAAGAATTACTATTTGTAAAATACATGAGTAAAATACAATTGAAGAAACATATAAGTGTGATAATAACTTATACATATAAATTGGATTTGCAAGTTTTACAAATAAAAAATATGTGATTACTTGAGTTTTATTTGTTATTTTGGATGTTTTAGATTTCCACGGTGTAAACAATTATTGGATACAGTGTTTTCATATAGAGTAATGAAAATTTTGATTTTATTATACAAGCTAACTATTATGTCAACTATATGAATAGCAGGGTAAGACAATGACTTGATAGAATTTTCAATTGTGAAACATTGTCCGTATATTTTATTTTGACCCTTTATACCTTAGGTAACACAAAATAAGTACGAGGATAAGAAGTTTTCACTCAATTGTTATAGGCGTTAACAATAAGTATTAATGTTTGGAAGAAAAGAATGATCACTTTCTTATACACGAAAAGAAAAAAACGGTAAAGGCCAAGCGTTGCGTAGGTACATAATTTGGGAATTTTCAAGAGTTTTGAATTTAAATTAAATAACCAACTCTCCAGTTTATTCAAATTCAAATATTAAGAAATTGAATTTGATAAACTCAATTAAAATAATAATTTTCATTTTAATTTGAATAAATCTAGCAGCTTATTCTGCAATCTATTTTCATAGTTCTTGACATCAAGAAAGCTTGTCCGAGCGCGTACTTCACGCGACCCGTCCCGGACTCGTCTTAACCTTGATATCTCTTGGCCTAAGAATAATTACCGATTATACTAAAATAACCAACATTCCTCCCCCATTTTGGTGTAACCCTTGAATTATTCATAAAATTAATCAAACTCATCAAACAAACGCATAAATGAAAATATCCGAACGATTGAATTTTCATATTAGTACCTAACAACACATTTATTCGAGAATCAAGGTATCACAAGGGATTGAACCAATCAACTCATAAGAATACATGCTTGTAATGTACACCAGTGTTTACAAATCCTAACATTAATCTTGACACTTTCCAGCCCTATGTCCCAATCCTTCGCAAGCACATCGACATCAAAGTCCTTAAATATCTTAAAGCGGAAAAACTCCGTACTTGTATAGGTGATTTCTTTAAATCTTGCTCCTGCAATGCAATTTTCAAAGAAATCATTGAGAGAATAATTCTCAACTTAACTTTCTTACAGGATTGAACGTTTACCTTGGGATGATTATTTAAGAAACGTTCCAATCAACTTAAGATAAACTTTCCACATTGAATTCAACTTCTAACGTCGTACTAGAAGGGAATTGAGTGTCTCATCCTTAGATGAATTTAATGGACTTTAATCCCATCCCGACAGATGACTTGTGAACAAGTTCTCTAGCTAATCCCTTCATCAAGTGATCAGCTAAATTCTGTTGTGAACGAAGATATTCTACCGAAATCACACCATTATTAAGAAGTTCACGAATCATGCTATGTCTCACGCCTATATGTTGAGACTTTCCGTTATAGATTACACTATAAGCTTTTTCCATCGTTGTTGAACTATCGCAACGTATAGAAATGGGTGACACCGGTTTTGGCCACAATGGAATCTCATGAACCAAGTTATGAAGCCATTCAACTTCCTTTACAACCGCGGCCAAAGCAATAAATTCATATTCCATTGTCGAACTAGTATACAGGTTTGCTTCTTTGATGCCCAACAAATAGTAGCACCTCCAAGCAAAAATACCCACCCAGTCGTAGATGAGTGATCCTCTATATGATTTATCCAACTAGCATCCGAGTATCCCTCAATGATCGGAGGAAACCCACTATACGACAAACCATAATTTATTGTTGATTTCAAGTATTTAAACATTTTTCTAAGTGTTTTCCAATGGTGTGTACTTGGTTTACTTGTAAATCGACTTAGCCTTCCAACGGCATAAGCACTATCCAGTCTCATGCTTATCATTGCGTACATCAAAGAACCTTTGACTCTTTGAGTACTCGAGTTGGCACACCGATTCTCCAGTATTTGCCATAAGTTTTGCACTCTGATCAAATGGGGTATTAACTGGATTACAATTCTCCATGTGATACCTTTTAAGAATTCTCTCAACATAATGCGATTGCGTAATTACAATCCCAGCAGATTCTCTCTTGATTTTAATCCCAAGAATCACGTCTGCCTACCCCATATCCTTCATTGCAGATTTGGAAGACAAAAAATCTTTTGCTTCATCAACATGACTTTGATCTGTTCCAAAGATCAGCAAGTCATCCATATACAAACATATTATAACACCTTCACCGGCATTATTAAACCTATTGTAAACACACTTGTCTGATTGATTTAAAACAAAACCATTGGACAACACAATTTCATCAAACTTTTGATGCCATTGTTTTGGAGCCTGTTTCAAACCATATAAAGACTTAATGAGTTTATATGCCTTATTTTCGTTTCCCGAATCGATCCGGCTGCTTCATGTAAACTTCCTCACCCAAGTCTCCATTGAGAAACACCGTCTTTACATCCATTTAGTGAATTAACAAATCTTTTATGGCAGCCAATACAATTAACAATCTGATTGTAGCAATCCTTGCAACCGGTGCATAGGTATCAAAATAATCAATGCATTTTTTTTGCCTAAAATCTTGCACCACTAATTGAGCCTTAAATTTATCGATTGTGCCATCAGATTTTAGCTTTCTTTTAAAGATCCATCTACAATCTAAAGGTTTACAACCCGAAGGCAGATCCCAAAACACCCAAGTGCCATTCTCCATGATAGAATCCATTTCGTCGTTTATTGCCTCATTCCAAAAGGTTGCATCCCTAGACTTCATAGCTTCGCTAAATGTCTTAGGATCTTCCTCAACATTGTAACAAAAATAATACAACACATCAATTTTATTCCCTGCACTTTCAACTAAATAAAGCTGAAAATCAGGACCAAACGACTTTGGCTTCTTAGCTCTTTTACTTCTACAAGGTTCAATAATTTGTTCCCTCGTATCTTTCTCAAATTCATTTCCAGAATTCAGAATATTACTCTCATCTAATGTTATATTCATTGGATGACAAAAAATGTCCTTGCGCTTGTCAAACTTAATAGATTTTACATTACTTGATGATCCATGAATTGAGGTAAATCGATGTTCATCAAATATTGCATCTCGAGATTCTATAACAGCACGAACTGATACAAAATCATTAGGTTTCATAACATAGAACCTATATGCTTTAGAATATTCAGCATAACCAATGAATATGTATTTGATTTCCTTTTCTCCTAATGTTTTTATTTTAGGCTTCGGAACTTTCACAATCGCCTTACAGCCCCATACACGCAAATATGACAAATGTGGGCGTTTTTTTAACCAAAATTCATAGAGGGTGAGTTTGTTTCGTTTGTTGGTAACCCGATTAAGGAGATAACAAGCTGTTAACATAGCTTCACCCCAAAATCCTTCACTCAATCCACCATAAGATATCATTGAGTTCACCATTTCCTTCAACCTACGATTTTTTCTTTCGGGAACACCATTTTGTTGCGGTGTATATGTAGTTGTTGTCTCATGGATGATTCCGACAGATTGAAAATAGAGTGGATCATAGAACTCTCCATCTCTATCCGTACGTAAGATTTTAATCTTAACTCCAAGTTGAAGCTCAACTTCAACCTTAAAAATTTTAAATTTATCCAAGGCCTCAGTTTTTTAATGCAGCAAGTAAATATAGCAGAACCTAGTGACATCGTCAATAAATGTCACGACATACTTCTTATTTCCTAACGAGGGCGCATAACGAAAATCGCACAGGTCGCTGTGAATAAGTTCAAGAACTTCCGATTTTCTATTTACACATTTAAAAGGTTTCCTCGTTATTTTAGTTAACATGCAGGTTTTGCTATTCATGTCAAATGCAGGGACTAATTCTGATTTTGACATATCTCACATCCGTTTGTAATGTACATGACCCAAATGAGCATGCCATAAAGAAGAGTCATTGTTTGATTTTGATACCAAACAAATGGATTTGATAGGAACTAAAATATTTATTAAATTCAGCCTAAACATTTCATTATAATAATAACCAAATCCTACAAATGATCCATGTTTCGATAGGACATACTTGTCCGATTCAAACACTTGTTTGTATCCAAACTTATTTAATACATGACCCGACACAAGGTTCTTACGCAGCCTAGGAACATATAATACATTACATAATGTGATACTCCTACTAAAACTAAATTTCAGTGTCACTTTTCCACGTCCTACGACTGGATCATAATGATAGTCCCCCATATATAACACCGATCCATCATCAACCGGTTGGAGTTTTTTGAATCATCACCTATCTTTACATACGTGTGTAGTGGCACCGAAATTTATCCACCACGCATAAGCGTCATCCTGCACATAATGCGCATTAGAAATCAAAGTTACTGAACCAACAAATTTTGTATTTTCAGATTTAAAGAAATTTGTACCTTGGTTTTGGGATTGGTCTTTCGGCCCTTTTCGCGTTCCGCTAGTGCTAGTGCTCCTCTTTCCTTTTCCAACACGACAATCGTGCTTGAAATGGCCTGGTTTTCCACAAATCCAGCAACCTTGTTTAAGCTTCTTGTTGGAGCCTTTGTTGAAAGCGAATGCTTAAATTCTTACCACGCTGGAGGGAGTTTATCAATGACACTCGATATACTTGGTTTCAAGCGCATCCCAAAGTTCCCTTGAGGACTGGACATTTTGGTAGATATCGAACAGATGATCAGCCATAGCATTGAGGATATGGCCACGGCAGATGTAATCGTTGTTCTCCCATTTCAATCTTGCCCGGGTACGCTCCAGCGGTTTATCATCAGGATCCTCAGGCAGTTCTGGACATAGTGTGCTCAGCACATACACAACCTTGAGAGAGGTTAAGAGAAAATGCATATTCTTCTGCCAGCGTCTAAAATCAACTCCTTCGAATTTGCACAGCTTCCCAAATTTGGTCGCCATATCGTTGATCGTTTCTCTAGCCATTGTGCACAAAAATAAAGTATACGAATGTTATGTCAACTATATGAATAGCAGGGTAAGACAATGACTTGATAGAACTTCCAATCACGAAACGTTGTCCGTATACTTTATTTCGACCCTTTACGCCTTAGGTATCACGAAATAAGTACGATGATAAGAAGAAGTTTACACTCAATTGTTATAGGCGTTAACAATAAGTATTAATGTCTGGAAGAAAAGAATGATCACTTTCTTATACCCGATAAGAAAGAAACGGTAAAGGCCAAGCGTTGCGTAGGTACATAATTTGGGAGTTTTCAAGAGTTTTGAATTTAAATTAAATAACCAACTCTCCAGTTTATTCAAATTCAAATATTAAGAAATTGAATTTGATAAACTCAATTAAAATAATAATTTTTATTTTTAATTTGAATAAATCCAGTAGTTTATTCTGCAATCTATTTTCCCAATTCTTGACATCAGGAAAGTTTGTCCGAGTGCGTACTCCACGCGACCCGTCCCGGACTCGTCTTAACCTTGACATTCCTTGGCCTAAGAATAATTATCGATTATACCAAAATAACCAACACTAACAAATATATAAATGGACTATATATATATACTTTCTTATGCGTAGGAATACCCGAGATATCGAGCAAAAAGGTGAAGTTAGAAAAGGTGGATGAGGCGAACAAGAGTGTGGAATACACGGTGATAGGCGGGGATTTGCTCCACTACTTCAAAATTTTCAAGTGGAAGACTATGGTGAGCTCTAAAGGGGATGGCTCTGTGGTGAAGTGGTCGTGCAACTACGACAAGGTCAATGAAGATTTTCCGAATTCCAACATTGTCAAGGAATTCACAATCAAGAAATTCAAGGAACTCGATGCTTATCTTCTCAAAGCCAACTAAGGATATGCTTTGTAGAATCTATGGTGTTATTTGTGTTTTGAGTTGTTTTAAATATGAGGTTGGAGATGAAGATGATATTTGGAATGGTTGTTATGTATTAAAATAAATAAATAAAACTATGCATTCTATATGTTTGGAGTATTTGAACATTATTTGTAGATGCTATATTTCGAGTATCTACTAGGTAAATTTCGATCGAATATAATAACATGCAAATTACACTAACATAAAAAGTTGCATTAGACAAACTTTATGTAGCAACCAAGAATTTTAATATTATTTATCACTTAAAGAAGTGTTCGGTATATAGAAATTGAAATAAATCAATTTCTTGTATTTATAAGTTCTACCATACATAGGGAAATAAAGATAATTAATTAAATTTGTGAGAGTTAACAAAAAAAATAAAAGAAAAAAAAAAGTAGAAATTTATTTTCCCACTACTTTTCATTGTGCACGTAAAATTCTTTTCGATTGTTTTTTACCCCAAATTTCACATTCGGTTGTTGTTATTGTCATCCCACTGTCCACCATAGAATTTTCTGATAGATTTATTTTTATTAATGTATTTTAAAATTATCATATATGTATTTTTTTTGTATATATATAAATATATTTTTTGTTTGAATAAATGATAATTAATTTCCTATTATATGATTTCTTTTATATATAGTTCAGTTTTCTATTTTCAAATATTGGATGTCTTATATGATTCACATAGTAGGCATTAAATTTTCTATTTCTATTTTTTTTTTGTTCTCTCTATTTTCACCAATGAAATACTACTATATGAATAAAAGAGTATCATTAGAATTTATTTATCTTTTAATTATAATTTTATTTCTTATCAATTTTATTTTACTTTTTTCAAAAGTAAAAAAATATATCTTAGCTTAATTTTTCTTTAGTAAATTTTTTATTCTAATTTTAATTATATTATTCTACCGTAAAAGATATATTATTTTTTAAAAATATATAATGTTCAAATACTGTATATATTCATAAGTTTATGATTGAAATATTATACAAACTATTTAATTTTAACTTTTTTTATATAAAATTTAAATTCAATTTTATAATATACTAATGTAACATGGGTTTTGTTTGCATAAAATATTTTTTTCGATATGATTCCCAATATATATATATTATTCTATTACAAAAGTCAATATTTAATATAAAATATTATTTTTTATATTATCGAAATGAATTTTCTATACTTCACTTAAAAAAATATTTCAAATCAAAACATTAAACAAAGAAATCCCCAATGTTTTATGAAAAATTAATTCACATTTAAAATTTAGATATTTTATTTTATTATATTTTAAATTTTTATTTTAAATTTTATTCAAAAAAAAAATTATGTATTTGTTCACTTAATCTATTTTTGGGTGACAAAATAGAGTATATATATATATTAATGCAATATATATATATATATTCTATCAATCCATAAGAAATCATCTATTCAAATGCAAAACATTATTTTTTATATTACTATATCATTTTTTATACCTAATATAAAAAAACACATTTATTTAATAAAAACACAAAAGTGAATACACCCAAATATTAAAATTTAATCTAATGTATATTATTTATATTTTTTATGTTACTTCATAAATTTTTAAAGAATATAATATGAACATATAATATTATACTCAATAAAAATAAGTACTGAATTCAAATAAATCCTTAAAAAAATTGAATTCAAATACTATTTTTACGATAAAATAATATAATAAAAATTAAGTCAAAAAAATAACAAATAAAAATTAAGTTAGAATATAAGGCTTTTAATTTTTATTTTTTAAAAGAATTGGCAGTAACAATAATAATAAGATAAAGATACATAAGTTCTAATGATATTTTTTTTTCATTCATGTGACAATATTTCATTCATCAAAATGTATTTTTATTTGACTTGGTTTACTTTTTAGGATAAAAAAAAAAAGTGATAGTTTTTGTTTTAAAAAATAAAAATAAATTTAAATAACAATAAATAAAAAAAAGAATAAATTTGAATGACAATTTAAGTATAAAAAAATACTCCCTGCGTCCCAAAAGATTTGTTTTATTTTTTCATTATCGTCCGGCCCAAAACAATTGTCTTGTTTCCTTAGTTAGTAGCTGTGGTCCCTACTTTATAACAAAATTATTTCTACTTTTCCATACTACCCCTAATTATTACTCTAACATACTCTTTAAAATTCTTAAAAAAGTAAGGGCATTTTAGTCATTTACATTCTACTTTATACCATTTTCAATTAAATATTATTATTTTTTAATTTCCGTGCCAACTCTGAATAAGACACTTCTTTTGGGACGGAGGAGTAATTAAATTGTCCATTACTAAGAAAACAATTCAATTTTTTTTTATAGCTAAATTCATCTTTAAATAAATAAAAAATAATTAAATTGAATATTACTATATAACAACAAACTCACCCTTACATAAAATAATAATACTCTCTCGGTCCCATAATTAAATATTTATTTGCTTTTTATACGTAGTTGTATAAATATTAATATTATATTGAGATGTAATATAAATAAAATAGAAATAACTAAAATAATTTTATTAGTATATATGTGATATAAAACTAATGATATTTATGTAATATATTGTAAGTTGTAAGGGTATTTTTAATATTAGGTAGATAATATAATTACTAAAAAAAAAATATTTTATTATGTGATATATTAAAATAAAAAGATAAATATTTTATTATAGAACCGAGGGAGGGAGCAATAATAATAATAATTTGAACACTCCTAAAATGTAGAAAACAACAGGGTTGGCGTGAAGTGATATGGAAATATTAGTAGCGGTGCCAAAACTACACTAATATTAATAAAATGTTATTTTGATTCAAAAAATTGTGCTTAATTTATTAATTATATTAAAAAAGTTACAAGGCACAATTTTCTACGCCATATTAATTAATTTCTTAATTAAAAGAAAAAGACTACGAAAGTCAAAAGTAGCTCTTCTTGCCTCACAAATTTTATAATTTTAAAAAGAATTTAGGATGTATTTGATAATTATGTGACAATTCTTAACTGATAGCTGATTCGATTAACAATTAACTTATTCGATTAGTTGGTTTGACTAGCTAATTCGATTAACGATTTGTATTAAAATATTTGATAAAATAACGGTTTGATATAAACTGTTTTCATGTAAAATTACAATTAATGATATTTTATATTTTATTTTCAAAATATATAATTGAGTTTTTCGGTAGGTAGATTTTTCTAGAATTTTATTATTATGTTTAAAAATTAAAATTTTTTATTAAAATATTTATTTTTATTATTTTTAAAATTTTTACTAGAAAGTAATGTGATTTTTTGCTGCCGAAACAGAGACGGAACTACACAGAGGCTAGGGGGCAGTTGACCCCCCAACCCCTAAAGATAGGATTTATTTAATGTAAGAAATAATAAAATTATGTATTTTTTTTTATTATTTTGCCCTCCTATTTTTCAATTTTTTTTTTATGTCATAGTGTAAAAAATAATAAAATTTTTGCGGGTGTGTTTGTTTGGGGGATTGGATTTTAAATATATTATTCATCTCATTTTTTCTCCCTAAAAACATCAAATCAAACACTTATTTTTCATTTTTTATATTATATTAAAAATTAATTTTACATTCAAAATATTACGTCAACACCTATTTATACCACATCATACAACTATTCAAATTCAAATTTTGTTGATTTATACTTTTAAATTTAAATTTTTTTAGTAGAAATTATTGAATTTTATTAAATTTTCTTAAATATTTATCTAAAAATTTAACTTTTACCTATTTTTTTCCTTTCTTCTTGGTTATTCCGTTGCATTGGGAGAAATCGAAAAAGATAATACTCCCTCCGTCCACAAGAAAAGTATACAATTATTTTTGGCGTGGTGTTTAAAAAATAATAGTATTTTAATTATAGTAGGTAATTAAAAGTAGTGTAATGACATTTTTGCCCTTACTTTTTGGTGTAAAAGTAATGATGTGATATAAAGTAGGGGTATTTGTGGAAAAAGGTAAGATATTTAATGAAATGTTTACTTTGTAATTGGACGTACCAAAATAGAAACATGTATACTTTCTAGCTGGACGGAGAAAGTATTAAATAAAAAAAAAGTAAATTGATATTTTGTCCCCTCTAAATTTTAGGGCTGGTTCCGTCACTGACCAGAAGGTGGTCGGATTATTGCATGAACAAAAAATAATGTTTTTTCTTCCTTTTTTCAGAAAAAAAAAAAATGACAAAAACACTAAGGGTGCGTTTGTTTGGGGGTTTGGATTTTGAGTTGAGATTTGAATAGTAAAAATTTTGAATTTGAATAGTTGTATGATGTGATATAAATATGTGTTGATGTGATGTTTTGAACGTAAAATTGATTTTTAGTATAATATAAAAAATAAAAAATAGATATTTGATTTGATATTTTTGAGGGAAAAAAATTGGATGAAAAATTTCTTGAAAGTTCAATGCATGCAAATATTTTGGGGGCATCTATTACTACTGACGGATGAATTGATTGAAAAATCTAATTGACAGGTTGGCTCAAGGAATCGCGAAGGAGAACAATACAATGATAGTCCAATTTTTGAAAAGACTTAATAAAAGATCTATAGGGTGAATTTTTTGTGTTTTTAGTGAAAATGAACAAAATATTTTTGTATTTTATTTATTGGGTGAGACTCTTTTGCGTTAATGTAAAGCTTGCGCGAAATACTCTCATTTCCAAAACTGATGTTTGGTTTTAAATAAAGATCTATATTATACAAGTTTTATACAAATAAAAAATAAAAAATATCTTAAATATTTTTTTAATAAAATAAATAAATAAATAAATAATTGATTAATCTTTTATTTTATAATTTTTTTGGAGATAAATTATTATCTGATTTTTACAAAAATTATAAAAAAATAAATGATTGATCAATTATTTATTTATTTATTTTACTCAAAAAAATATTCAAAATATTT